CTATTTGCCTTGCCATGCATCGTTCAGTGTTACTCGCCTAGGTGACCGAGTGAAGGCAAGCGCCAATGTGTATAGAGTTCATTTGGCTTATCACTAATCAAAGGCCGAGCGCCAGTAGTGGTCACACGTTTGTCCGTCCGCATATGAAACGCATACGGATTTTATAACGCTATTCAAAAAAAATTGCAAAACACAAAATAAAGAAGTACATATTATATATCAACAAATTGTCATGTTGTTGTTAATTTTATTTAATGAAGGAGTACTATGAACGGATTTTTCAAAATTCATCCCCTAAGATGGCGAAAACGGATAAAAACGTTTGCATGAAAAATAATATTCCTTGAAATTACAAAGACGCAACTTTGCATAAATATTTTACAATAAAAATTGTAAAAAATAGGCATGACAGTTTTTAAAAAATGCGGCGAAATGGGTAATAAAGTTTGTATGGTAAGTTTTTAACGCGTGGTCGGATTTGCTTCGTACTTGAATATTTTTCACTTGTATAAAAATTGTACGCAGACGAAGTCGTGGGGTAAAGCTAGTACATGATAATTGTTGATTTCCGATGATTGATTTTTACAACTACTTCCATGTGTTAAAATTGCTTGATAGATTTCATTTGCTTAAGAAAGCCCGGGAATTAACGGGAATACTAGAATCCGCAGAAACCTGAATAGACTTGTATTTGACAGTTAGTTAAAAGACGTGACGTAAATATGTACTAAAATGTAGGTTAAAGGCGAACCTCTTAAAGTAATTTTTATATTTTATTTAGTAAGTACAATTAATACTATGTAATGTTATATACCAGTAAAGTAGGTACAGGTAGGGCAATGTTGAGTGTGTGCGTTAAAAAAAAAGTAAGAGTGCGCATGTCGCCAACAAACTGCACAACAGCAATTTTAACTGGTAACTTATTTAGTAATAGTACCAATACTATTACTAAATAAGTTACCAGTTAAAATTGCTTGATAGATTGATTTGTTTAAGAAAGCCAGTAACGTGAATACTAGAATCCGTAGAAACCTGACTAGACTTGTACTTGACAGTTAGTTAAAAGACGATATGTACCAAATAAATATGTACCAAAATGTAGGTTAAAGGCGTACCTCTTAAAGTAATTTTTATATTTTATTTAGTATATACAATTAATACTATGTACCTGTAAAGTAGGTATAATTAAGTAAGAATGCGCATGTCGCCAATTAACTGCACAGCAGTTTGGTGACTTTTACTAAATAAGTTACCAGTTGTAATCTTGAAAATAAATTTTAAAAAAAGTTTAAAAATGTGTGTTGACATTTATAATAATATACCACTCGAGATTAAATTATTAGACCTGTGTTTGTTTAGGCATACTTTGGTTACAGTAAACTAAAGAAACCAAAAAAATAACAGTTTCAACTTTCAAGTCATATATTTGCATGTCGATAATGACTTATCGATAGATTATCGATACAACATTAAAGAAATCCGCCATTTGTAACTTTCAAATTTTGGTTTTATGCACGTTGATTCTGTAGTTAGGGCAGCTCCTTTCTTTTATTTTTTTTTCCATCCTGTAACCCCGACATTATGATTGAAGCCATGCCATTTTCAGTTGAATTAGAAAAAAATTATCTGCCGCTAAAAAAGTTTGTATGGCAGCCACATTGAAAAAATGCAAAAAATAAATTTGGACCGTAAATTATTATCAAACACCTATAGAGACCCCTACATACCGATTTTCAGTTGAATTAGAGGTGATTTTTATAAACTTGTATGGCGGCCATATTGAAAAATAGCGAAAAACTAATGTTGATCACAAATTATTATCAAGCACTCCTAGAGACCCCCACATGCCAATTTTCAAAGGGATCAGAGTATTTTCTTTCTACCGCCAAGAAACGCTTGTATGGCGGCCATATTTGAAAATGGCGAACAACCAATTTCGAGTACAAATTATTATCCGGCACTTCTAGAGGCCTCCACCTGCCAATTTTCAGCCGAAACAAAGCAAGTCTCTTCGGCAGCTATTTTCAAAGAAAATAAACGCTTATATGTCAGCCATGTTAAAAAATGGCGAAAAAACTTTTGACCCCTAATTATGATTAAGAACTCCTAAAGACCCCCACATATCAATTTTCAGCCGGATCGAAGCAAGTTTTTATTCGGCCGCCATTTTGAATTCGCCATCTTGAATTTTTTTTTACACAGTTGACCACTGTTACCTGTGTCGCAACTATCTCTAGTAGTTTCCGGTATAGAAGACCTTGAAATTTGTATGGCGGCCATCTTGTTTATTTGAATTTCGAATATTTTTACATTCGGCGGAAATTGCCCAGGGTGTACCTACCTCTTAAAAGTGCACAAATATTCCCTCCATATATTATAGTTTTTGCAGGCCGTTGATCACAATTTCATATTTTCCAAATTCAGGTCATCTCATATTATTTGATTGTTTACTTTGGAACCTTTCCGCGTACAACGGTATAAATATCTTTTTTCCACCGTATCGGGAGATATGCGTTCTATTTCTATCCGTGAGTCTAAACTTGTAGCCGTAATGGCTCTTATTTCGTCTCTATTTCTGGTTATATACTCGATGAGAAGACACAACCGATTTATTATTTTAAGGTTATAGCGGTGTTGTATTCATGCACTCACTCATGTACAAATTTAGCGTAATATACGGAATTTGTTATTGATTTTTTTTTAAATACATGGTATTTGAAGGTTTTAATAATATTTACTTTTTAATACTAGGAAATTAGCAAAAAATATTTTTTTTTTATTTTTTTTTTTTCAAAAGTTATTTTTCCATAATGGCAATGGCATGACCATCGATAGGCTAAATCCTAATTAGCCTATCGATTGTCATAATATTTATTAGTATGTATTGTACGTCGTGTTGGGCTCCTGGCCCTGGCTTATAGGAGACGAACGAAGCGCGTGTCGTACAGTCGCGTAAGACTATTGTTCAGAATAATTAAATAATGAATGTATGACTTCATTGAATAAAAAAAAAGACTATTAAAATTTATAGAGCAAGTTATTTTCAACTACAAATTGGTATTACGGTTAATTTTAACTCTAAAAATTCAGTACATATATATAAAATGTTTATTTATTACACTCTATCAATTCAAAATTATTTTAATCACAGCGAACATGATATCTTGAGTGATTTCATAACAAACATTTGAAACGGTGGCCTGCCTTGGATATTTATTTTTCATTATGTGTACGATTTTTATTCGAAATGTACCTATCAATGAACATAATTGAACATCCAATATCTTGTACAAAGGAGCGACTAATTCTAAAATTTCGCCACTAGAACCGACTAATTCACGACTTTTTCTGGGTCTGATTGACCTATGCCAGGAGATGTGGTTCTTGAGATTCAAAAATGGTGTCGCCGGAATAAGCTTATTCCAGCTTGGACAGTAAAACACCTTAATAACTTCAAAACTGCATAACGACTAAATCTAGTTTTGTACGACTAACCGACTAAATCTCGACATTTTTTAGTGTAATCAGATCTAAGCTAGGTATTGTGGTTCTCGACATTGAGAAATGATGCCGATGGAATAAGCTTATTCTAGCGTGGACAGTCAAATACCCTTATAAGTTTTGAATGGGAGACCAGCTAAATCTAATTTGTTGCGACTAGAACCGACTGAATAACGACTTTGTATCTGGTTAGTCAAATTTCAAAAGACGAGCTTAGCGTGCTCATATTGATTCAAATCGTAATCGATCGATCGAATCGGCAGTCTCGAAACGGACGGGTTTCTGAGCGAGAAGATGAACATGATTCCTACTATATCTTTCTAATTTGTGAGTAAATCAACTATTGTTCCGATGTGTGTATGTGCAAATGAAATGTCCGATCGGCCAGTTGTGAATCGCAATTATGCGCCTCGACTCGGAAAAGACGCAGTTTCCGATCGGGAGAGGCAATCAAAATCAAGCTGCAAATAGATCTTTCGAGACTTATAGTTGGCACGCGTCCGACGCTAACCATTTCTACTGTATTTATTGTTCTGTGGATATAACCTTTAAATGCAGTGGGTTATGTACCTATTGATATTTTTATTCCGTATCGAGGATTGGTATCTTGTATTATAGAAGTATTATTTTGAAATGGAAATGAATGCTGAACCTTTCTGAATTTGAGGCACTCTTGTTCAAACAAAAAGTCATAAACATATATTTTTTAAAATACATTAAATAGTAGATATACTATTTATTTATTTTTTAAAACATCGAGCGAACCCTTCAATTTCTATAAGCACGTGCGAACCGTATACGGCGCGCATACAAACAAATAGCGCGGCTACGTTTGAATGGAGTTACCCTACCTTTACTTATAGTATGGTTACCTACACTATGAATTGCCAGTGGCGCATGGCGGCACAACCTGCCAACGACAGGATGAGCATGTTCTGCGCCGCGCGGCTTTAGCGATGCCACACGTTGAGTTGTGAAGCTGCATTGTAACAACTTAATATAAATCAAGAGCGATATATGCTACACCGCGTTGTAAAGGTGCGCCACCGTGAGCATCTTAGTACGTTGAAATCATATCATTGCGACGATACAACGCCCCTGTGACATCGCTCTAACTCTTTTGGTACAAGAAATGAATACTTTATATAGTAGATAATATATTATATATATTCTTTAATATATTGCATTTTTAAGAGCGCCGGACGCAGCGCGCCATTGCCCGCCGCACCCGATGGCGCCGCTTATTACATCTTCTCTTTAAATTTAATTTAAGATTCAGAAAAGTAACCTTATATTGTTGAAGATAATTATATGTTTATGTTCCATTGCTTATTTTAATACATCGCAGCGTCGCGTAGTCCAACTGCGGCAATTTGAGGCGACTCTAAACGTGATGAGGGCCACCGCGCCAGCCTCCCCATGAATACCCCAACTTTGTTCTGCACAAGTACGTTCGTTGCGCAACTGTTGGGTTGTAGTATAGGTATGAATAATATTACCTGCGTTTTTTTAATTTTCTTTTTCTTTTTAAACTTCTTACTAAATCAATTTTTTCTTGTAAATCATTGCAACGTGCTTCCGCTACCGTGAATTGGTCATCAACTTCTGGTATTGAAGCTATAATAAGTACAAAAGTTATTTCTCATTCAAGGAATTTAAAATCAAATAGTCTACGCCTATGCGTATCATCAACAGAAATATTCCAAGAAACCATAGGACGCACCCCTAATGTCCAGTTTTCGTTCGGATCGCGAGCCCTCTATTTGAGGTCCAACAATGCTACTCGAACTTCGATGACGCTTATCTGCAACAATCATCCTCACGAGATACACTAAAACATTGGGATCAACATTCTTTCTAATAATTATATTATATTGCCACCGAAATGAGACGGCCACCGGCATCGACTAGATACCATTCAAAAGACGAAATCAGGAACATTTGCCCTCTCTACTTTGGCGGCCTGCTGCATTGTAGGTGAAAATCTGTGACGGCGTACAAGTCCTATATTATTCTATACTACTGAAAAATATAACGTTCAAATTATATTTATATAATTGTATACATTGTCATAATGACAACGAGGAAGAGCTTACCTTTAGATAACTTTATACCGTCGCCCATTGTACTTTAAATTTTTCGTTTACACGACTTGAAAGTTTCGTGTTAATTTAAAACTGACGACTGATTAATAAATATAAAAAGGGTTGTTTAGTAAAAGCACTAAAAAATCATTACGTCAAAGTTGTCAAAATAATTCCAAGTCTCTAGAACATTAGAACATCACCATTCGTACTGAAAATCTATAAACCTATGCATTTGAAAACAAATATAGACCAAAGAGAATTTAAGCACTATACGGTACTCAATCTACTTTACTGAAACGACTTTAGATATTATCATTAACATAATCTACAAAAAAAATTTTTTCAATCAAAGATCACTATGTTAGTAAAAAAGAAACGAGTGAGAGGCTTCAAAGTAGTAATGCGTCTCTTTCTAAAGGGTGTTTATTCATGTTTCAGCCAGCCATATTGTTTTTAACTTTTTAATTTTTACAGAAAATGTGGCCGCTTATAGATGACCAAAACAACTAATATTATTTCATAATACTAATTAGTATTCTTATTTGATAAGCTACCTTATAATAGAAGGTTTTATTGTTGATTTTTTTTTGTATTATTACAGTAAAAGCATATTACCTTTAAGCTAATTTTATTTAACCAAAACTTAAAAAGGTAATAGACTAGACACTTAAAATAAACCTTAATATAACCCAATAAGGTGTTTTGTAATATTGGTCCAAGTGCGCGATCCAGTTTATGAAATGTAGGTATAAATCCAATGATATTATTGTATCCATAGATTTAGTATAAAGGTACCCAATTGTATCCGTGTCAAAGATATTACGAAATAGACATTACGAATCTTTGATATCAACTGTCAATTTTCTACAAAATCTGCGACAAATATTACCACCACGCGTTTCCACCTATAATAGTTTAAAGTTTTATAAATTCAGACTTGTAGCTCGAAACAATTTCGCAATTTCTCTATAAAAAATCTTATCCAATCCCATGTCCCTCTTCCCAATTCCACTCATCTTTTAGTATTGTCCAATAACTTCTATATACACTTATCTATCTAGATATATTTTCGAAAATAAAAGTAATATAGAATATAGCGGTTGTAATAATAATATAATATTTATACTGTTCGTACGTTTTTTCATACTTTCTCCATCGTCCTAATCCCGTGTCTAAATTTGATAGCAAAGAAGTATAAGAAAAAAAGTTGACTTTTGTCCATCCTAAAAGAGTACACCCTGAGATGAAATTGAAGTCCAAACATTGACTTTAAGTCAATGAGTCCAAAAATGTAAACAAATGTGTTTACCATTACAAAAAAAAGTTTTTGAGAATAGTGGAAACGTGAAAAGGTCTACAAAATATTGCATGATGTTTTATATTGTTATGTAGGAGGAAGCGGGGCAGTTTGATACAGGGGGCACATTCATACATTATCTCCGTGCCCTCAAACATAATATTAGTTGTGATAATACTAAAACGTGCCTTTGTAAGTGTGAGTAATAGATATGCGATGATGCAGTTCACCAGTTAGCCGTCGTCGTTTGACAGGTTACAGTGTTTTCACAGCCGTTGACTAAAAAAATAAGCGACACAAATACGAGTGCCGCTGCAGTTTCGTTCACTTTACAGGGTTTTATGTACTAAGTACATGGTAAATTAGTGTTTCCAATAACTAGAATTGCACGTGACTTTGAGAGAATATATTAAAAAAAAAATTAAATATTTTTTTCTAAACTAGCCCGTGGGGTACATTTATACACTAGTGAGTGGGGCAGTTTGGTACGTATCAAAGAGCTCCTATTAGTAATTTTGTACGAAAAATGTAAAACTGTTTCAACAACTTATTCTAAAGAGGTGAACTAGTGACACTTTGCGCTATAGCGATGCAAGCGATGTATCAAAGTACCCCACAGGTGGGGCAGAAATTGACAATTCCCATTTTTTGGTACAATCAAAATTTTTCAATTATTCGATGCTATTTATGATAGAAAATATTGAATTAGTAATGTTTATTAATAGTATCATCAATTAGGCAGAAAAAAATATATTCATTATAATTGCATTTAGTAGCCCAAAATTAAAGTTAAAAAAAAGTGTGCGAATCTGCCCCGCTTCCCCTACAGGGTCAAGAGCACGTGAAGCTTGACGCTTAACACGTAAATCAAATTCTATGCAGCTTACGGTAAGAACGGTCCAAAGTACAAAGTGTCAAGCTTGATGTACTCTTGGCTGTACAAACAGAATATTATCCAATCATTTTAGTTTAAAACAATCTTAATAAATAATATAAACTCAAAGAACTTATTCTTGTGGAAAGATTTTTATCCCATTGGCAATGTTTCCGGTATACACAACCTTTGGCTGCCCCTTTTATTTATCGGTATACAAACACTATAATTTGTTGCTACATTTATATTATTTTATTGTAAATAATATTTTTTATGAAGAATGATAAAATAAAAATAATAGATTGATAAAATATTAAATAGTGTTCATTATAATTAAAAATAATAAGCCAGTTTTTTATCAATAGGCATGGTTAATGTCAGGTCGGCGGCGGTTTGCCTGCCCACCAAACTGAGCTGCGTCGTCGTAATTTTGTTCATACGATTTCTGGCGCTCGTTGTTATCGAACGTGCTCCTTGCTTTATAATATGCGTCGTGTTGTTGTACGCTTTACACTCCCTTATAAGTTTTTTAACAATAGTTAAAAAAAAGATTGCCTTTTGGTTGACACGTGAAAAAATATTATTGTACCCTATGTACACACACACACACACACACACACACACACACACACACACACACATACACACACACTCGCACACACACACTCAGTCACAGTCACACACTCGCACTCTCTCACTCACCTACACACACACACACACACACACGCGCGCGCGCGCCCACACACACACACACACACACACACACACTCTCATACATACACGCTCACACACTCACACACACACACACACACACACACACACACACACACACACACA